ATTGCAGTACTAGCAGTTATAATACTATCATTAATAACAACACCACCCATACTGCTATCAGCATCGTTCCAGTAATATAGTAATAACAGCTATAATACCATCATTAATAACACTATTAATACCGTTATGAGCAACGTTCCAGTCACAAAAAAATTAAAACTAAGTGCTTTTGTACTTAAAAATATGACAACTTAAAAATATGACAACTTAAAAATATGACAACTTAAAAATATGACAACTTAAAAATATGACAACTTAAAAATATGACAACTTAAAAATATGACAACTGCAAGTGCTTTTGTCCTTCGATCACTTACTGTCAGCCCCCCATCCAGTGGCAGTCACAAAAATGTCAACAAAGTTAGCGGAATCAGCAGCATCCGAGTAGCTTGGTAGACACACCGGCTGGATGTAATCTGTAAATGAGTGTTGCTTAATGAGTAGATGAGTAAATTCTAGATGAGTGATTCTTAATGAGTAAATGAGTAGATTCTAGATGAGTAATTTCTAATGAGAAAATTAGTAAATTATAGATGAGTAATTCTTAATGAGTAAATGAGTAGATTCTAGATGAGTAATTTCAAATGAGTAAATTATAGATGAGTAATTTCTAATAAGTAAGTAAATTCTAGATGAGTAATTTCTAATGAGTAAATAAGTAGATTCTAGATGAGTAATTTCAAATGAGTAAATTATAGATGAGTAATTTCTAATAAGTAAGTAAATTCTAGATGAGTAATTTCTAATGAGTAATAAGTAGAAGATGAGTAATTTCAAATGAGTAAATGAGTAAATTATAGATGAGTAATTTCTAATAAGTAAGTAAATTCTAGATGAGTAATTTCTAATGAGTAGATTCTAGATGAGTAATTTCAAATGAGTAAATTATAGATGAGTAATTTCTAATAAGTAAGTAAATTCTAGGTGAGTAATTTCTAATGAGTAGTGAGTAAATTCTAGATGAGTAATTTCTAATGAGTAAATGAGTAATAAGTAAATTCTGAGTAATTTCTAATGAGTAAATAAGTAAATTCTAGATGAGTAATTTCTAATGAGTAATAAGTAAATAAGTGAATTCTAAATGTCATTTCTAATGAGTAATGAGTAAATGAGTAGATAAGTAAATTCTAAATGAGTCATTTCTAATGAGGAAATAAGTAAATAGGTAAATTATAAATTAATGTCTTATGAGTAGTGAGTAAATAAGTAAATATTAGTAATTTCCTCGTGTAGTAGTTACGCAAGGTGAGTGATGTCTAATGTGGAAGGCAGTCTGAATTTCGTTTTTTTTTTTCTTAATAGTTAGATAATTACATTTGCATTTAATTAGCCTGGAACGTGTGATGAAAGACCCACTCGCTTAATCTTGGATTCAAATAATTCTAATCACTTATAACGTATGAGAGTGAGTTTGAATGATCTTAAAGAGTCCAAATTTAAGGTTCATTTGATGCATGTTAATATAAGGAAAAGTGATTCACGAAATAATTAAATGAATCAACTCTGAAAAAAACTATAAATTATGAAAAGAAAAAAGGAAATCTTGAAGTATAGACCCATCCTCCTCCCCCTTTTTTTTCGTTTCCCTCCCCTTTCCTCTCCCTTTTAAGCTCCCTCTTTCCTCTCGTGTTTCCCCTCAACTAACCACCTCACCCCCCTTTCACTCCCCTTTTCCCCTCGTTTTCCCCAAACTAACTCCACCCCCCTTTTCCCCTCAACTAACCACCCCAACCCCTTTTACTCCCCTTATGCTTTCCCCAACTAACCCCCACCCCCTTTTTACTCCCTCTTTTCCCTCAACTAAACCAACCCACCAGCCACCCTCTTTACTCCTCCCCCCTTTTTCCCCCTCGAACTAACCCCCCAACCCCACCCTACCCAACCCCCTTTTTACTCCCTCCCCCCTCTTTTCCCCTCGAACTAACCTACCCCACCCACCCTCTTTACTCCCTTCCCTCCCTTCCCCCCTCCCCTCCCTCCCCCCCCCCACCCTCTTCCCCCCCTCACGTCCCCACCCCCTTCAACTCACCATTGAACCCGATCGGCTGCCTCAGCTTAATGACAGCAATATCGTTATCGAAGATCTCTGGGTAGTCGATGTCCTCGTGCACGTAATATTCGTCGGTCTCGTAGGTGACCTGAGACTCCTCCCACTGGTCACGGTTGTGGGCGCCGAAGAGGACCTGGATGAGGCCTGACCTGGGGTGGGGGGGGGAGAGAGAGAGGGGAGGATGATAAAGGGGCGGGAAGGGATGGGATGGGATGGGGAGGTGGAAGGAGGGGGAGGGAGAGAGGGATGATAAAGGGACGAGAAGGGATGGGGAGGTGAAAGGAGGGGGAGAGAAAAGAGGGGGAGGTGAAAAGGGACGGGATGGGATGGGGAGGTGAAAGGAGGACGTGGGAGAAGGGGGAAGAAGAAGAAGAAGAAGAAGAGGGAAGATTAAGGACAAGAAGCACCTGGATGAGGCCGGACCTGGGGGAGGGGGGAGAGAGAGAGAGGGGAGGATGATAAAGGGACGAGAAGGGATGGGGAGGTGGAAGAGGGGGAGGGAGAGAGGGGAGGAAGAAGAAAGAAGTGGAAGAGGAGGACAAGAATTGGAGACGAAAGGAGGACGTGGAGAAGGAAGAAGAGGGTGTTGATGAATGGGAAGAAGATAGGAGAAGAGAGGTGGAAGAGGAGGTGAAAGGAGGACGTGGAGAAGGAAGAAGAGGGTTTTGGTGAATGGGAAGAAGATAGAGAAGAGAGGTGGAAGAGGAGGTGAAAGGAGGGCGTGGGAGAGGAGGAAGAAGAGGGTGTTGGTGAATGGGAAGAAGAGAGGAGAAGAGAGGTGGAATAGGAGGTCAAAGGAGGACGCGGAGAAGGAAGAAGGAAGAAGAGGGTGTTGATGAATGGGATGAAGAGAGAAGATAGGAAGATAAAGGACAAGAAGAGATGAGGAGGTGAAAGGAGGACGTAGAGAAGGAAGAAGAAGAAGAAGAAGAAGAGGATGATAAAGGAACGAGAAGAGATGGGGAGGTGAAAGGAGGGCGTGGGAGAGGAGGAAGAGAAGAAGAAGGGTGTTGATGAATGGGAAGAGAGAAGATAAGAAGATATAAGACAAGAAGAGAAGAGGTGAAAGGAGGACGTTGAGAAGGAAGAAGAAGAGGGTGTTGACGAAAGAAGATAGGAGATAAGAAGAAAGATGTGGGGGAGGAAGACGACAATAATTGGAGGTGGAAGGAGGACCTGGGAGAAGAAGAAGAAGAGGGTGTTGATGAATGGGAAGAAGATAGGAGATAAGAAGAAAGATGTCGGAAAGGAAGACGACAAGAATTGGAGGTGGAAGAGGAGGTGAAAGGAGGACGCGGAGAAGGAAGAAAGAGAGACCGTTGATGAATGGGAAGAAGATAAGAAAGATGTGGAAGAGGACGACGAAAAGAGAGAAGAGAAGAGAAGAGAAGAGAAAAAAGAGAAGCGAAGAGAAGAGAAGAATAAAGCAAAAAAAGAAAAAAAAAGAAAAGAGACACAGAGACAGACATACCGATAGACACAAACACACACACACCCCAACCCCCCCCCCCCTTTCAAAATATCCACCCAACCTACCCTTGGACACAGCCTCCACTCGTCATCACCCACTCGTCGGATATGAGGACCCCGCCGCACCAGTACGCATGGTCCATCCACACGACCACATTCCACGGGTATTCGTGGGGCACTGCGTCTCGCCCGCCATACAGTCTGGACTCCTTGCTCGGCGCCAAGGGAGCGACGCCGCAGCCCTCTGGTGGGAGACGAGGCAAGTTCTATTTAAATTTTTCTGGTTAGGAAATTATTTTTATTTCTCCTTTTTAAGCTAAAATCGTAGGTATGATTCTTCGAGTGTTTTCATTTTCAGGGAGTTCATTTTTATTTTATTTATTTATCTATTTTGATAATAATGTTAATAATAATGATAATGATGCTGCCGATGATGATGCTACTGCTTACTCCTGCTGCTGATGACGATAATGATAATGTAATAATATAATACTAATAACAACACTGACATTACTGATGCAACAATAACAATAATCATAAAATCGATGAACAAACATATGCCATCTTTTCAGCGGTTACTGCAAACGACCTACTTCGGATATTTCTTGCATATTCGTACTTATATTGGATATATTCAACACCGCACTACCCACCATAAGATATCAAAAGCCATCTTGGATATCATATTCCAAAATACTGTGTACTTGTCGGAAAAATAACCAGTACAGTAAAATAGCAAGCCGTTAACTGCGCCTATTCCCATTACGTCATAGAAATGGGCGGAGCTTAGAGGCCTGTCTCGCCTCCGATCACGAGACAGATTTTGGTGTCGCGTCGCGTCTCACGACACCCTAAATTGCCACCGGAAAAGATGGCAATAGACACCGTCACTCCTAACCTAAATTACAATATTCTTTATCATGAAGTTCTTAAAGTGTTACAGTCAGTGAAAAATAGATAAATGAATAGAGAGAGAGAGAGGAGAGAGAAAGAAAGAGAGAGAGAGAGAGAGAGAGAGAGAGAGAGAGAGAGAGAGAGAGAGAGAGAGAAAGAGAAAGAGAGAGAGAGAGGAGCGAGGAGGTTGAGGGAGGGAAAAGAGAAGGTATATAAATAAATACAAATAAATCCAAAATACTGACCAACCCTCTTTGTGCCGCTGATGTTCCGCCTGGGCTGCTGGGGAAGGACCAAGTGCTGGAATGCGCGAGCGCGGTTGGGCACCGAGTTGGTACGTGCCCTCAACTGGCCCGGTTTCCCTCCGTGGGGCAGGCCGCTCTGGAAGGGGAAACCACAGGACATTATTCCACGTTGCTAAGTTGAGTATCGTATACATACTTGCATATACCTACATACATGCACACACACACACACACTATATATATATACACACACAAACACACACACACACACACACACACACCTGCACAAACACAAATATACATATGTACATATATGTGTGTGTGTGTGTGTTGGACCTTTACCATGGTTTCGATTCTTCACTTTTCAGGCGCCATCAAGTTTAAATGCAGAAATAACAATATAATTTACTCAACGCCATAACTCCAGCATCTAGCTCCTTGGACCAATCTATCTAAATGCCGAATGCCCAATGCCCATGCCGGTCGCAGAGATTCATGCCGCCACAGCCTCACCCACGTCTCGAAACGCTTCGCTTGCTGCAGTGTTTCGAAGCAGTGGTTTCGAAGCAGCTTTGTCGGGAGGAGAAAGGCTGGATTAGTTGCAACTAGGAGGTGTCATGGCGTCTGTTTTGATGATTGTTCCGCGGAAATATAACGATTAAAACCATTATTTTCCATCCATTTTGGAAGATTGAAGAGACCAAAATGATCGACCGTATTCACAAAGCATCCGTATCTTTTGTGACGTCATCAAAATAAACCCACGTGCTTTTTTTCCTTCCAAAAATAGAATCGAACGCCATGACACCTCATCGGTTGCTTCTGATCTAGCCTTTCCTGGGAGGGTAACGTGAATTTAGCTTTTCGCATCGCCGCAGTCACAGCCACAGGGAAATGTTTATGTTTAAATGTTTATTTTATTTATTTTATGTTAAATGTTTATTGTTTAAAATGCTTAGCTACCTTAAGATCTAAGACAGAGGAAGTGATTCATATTATGAATTTATGGAGACGAAGAATTTCCTTGGTTTTCAATATACTGATATTGCGTCTAATGGTGCATTCGGAACTGCTCGTCCAACTCGGAAAAAAAATAAAGTGTGTAGTACTCCGTTCACTTCTGGTTACCTTGTTAACTATAAAAAAAATACACGAAATGACAGTCAGTTTTTCCTATTTGAATGTCACTGTTACAGATATAATAAGACTCCATAAACCAATGAAAACTGACAATAACGAATCTCGATCTGAAGCGGTTCAAAACATTTTTTTTTTAACCTTATCCTCGATCATTCCTTGAAATCAATATGACTTTAAGACTCGGTGAATTATACAAATTATACGAATTATACGACAGCAGTTTCCAGTCAAAGAATTCTACGAGATTTTGGTCCCCGTTCTTCTGGTAAGGACAGCTGGCATCTTTGCATCAAAACAAACTAATTGTTATAAGTAATTGACGCATAGCTACTTCCTTAAAGGTATGTACAACGTTATAACTGAGTTTTTGACTGTTCATGTTGTAATTAAGGTTTTGATTGGAAAAAATAACATTTCTATTCACTGCAATCTCAAACGCGCATTTTCACTGCAAGAAAATGCATAAACAGGCCTCTTATGATACCTTTATATGAATTGGGGAAAAATAACCTATATAGGTTAATGAAATAATAAAAATCGGTTTCCTGAGGTTAAATTTGATTTCCCTTAACAGAGAACTTTCTCTCTCTCTCTCTCTCTTTCTCTTTTTCTTTTTCTCTCCCTCTCTCCTCTCTCCTCTCCTCCTCCCTCCCTCTCCGTCTCCTTCTCCACCTCCTCTCTCCTTCTCCTTCTTCTTCTTCTTCTTCTCCCTCCTCCTCTCTCCTTCTCCCTCTCCCTCTCCCTCTCCTCTCCTCTCCTCCCTCCTCCTCTCCTCCTCTAATTCCATAACATTCAATCCGGACCCCTTTCCCTCCTCTCCTTTTCTCTTCTCCTCCTTTCTCTTACTTCCTTTCTCTTTCCCTTCCTTACGCCTCATCTTCTCTTACTCTCTTTACGTTTCCATTGCTTGCACTATCCCTTTCCTTTCCGCCTTCCATCGTCTTCCTATTTTCATCTTCTTTATCTCCTTTTTCTTTTCCATCTCTTCCTCCCTTCATCCCTTTTGCCTCTCCTCCTCCTCTGCTTCATTCCTTTTCCCTCTCCTCCCTTCCTTCCTTCACACTCTTGCTCAATTCCTTTCTTCTTTAATTCCTTCTTAAGCGTCCCCTCTCCCTCTCCTTCACTCCATTCGCTTCCCCTATCCCTCCCCTTTCATTCCTCATCCTCTTCCTTTTCCTTTTATTCTCCTTCCTCTTTCCTCTCCTTCCCTTCTTGCTCATCCCTTCTTCCCTTCCTCCAGTGCTTCAATTTCTCCCTTTATCATCTGCCTTCGACTTCCCTCCATTCCTCCAGTGCTTCCCTCTCCTTCACTTTATCCACTCGTTCCCTTCTTCCCCTCCTCCACTTCTCTCCTTCCTTCTTCCACTTCTCCCCTCCCTTCCTTCACTTCCTCCTTCCCTTATTCCTCCATTTCTCCCCTCCCTTCCACCACTTCTTCCTTTCCTAATTCCACTTTTCCCTCCCTTCCTCCACTTCTCCCCTCCAATTCTTTCTCTTCTCCCTTCCCTAATCCTCCACTTCTCCCCTCTCTATTCCTACACGTCCTCCCTCCCTATTCCTTCTCTTCCCCTAATCCTCAAATTCCCCTTCCCTATTCTTCATTCCCCCCTCTTTATTCCTCACTTCCTCCTCCTATTCCTCTCTTTCTCCTTCCTCCTACTCCCTTCCTTCATCCACTTCTTCTTCCCTAATCCTCTTCCTTCCTATTCTCCACCCTCCTTCCTATTTCCCACTCTCCCTTCCTATTCCTCCACCTCCGCCTCTCTATTCCTCCACCTCTCCCCATCTTATTCCTTCTCTTCTCCCTTCCCTATTCCTCCACCTCCTCTCTACTCCTCCTCCTCCTAATCCCCACTCCCCCCATCTCTATTCCTCCACCTCCTCCCTCCCTATTCCTCCCACTCCATCGAACTCACAGCGACGGCGACGCAGACGAGGAGAAGAGCAGCGACCTTGATGACCATCCTGACGACACTAAAAGGTACCGGATGCGTCCCTGCTTTTAAACGAGGCGCCATGACCTTGCACGGTACAAGGACGTCTAGGTGGGGTAAAGTGTCTCGTTTCGTCTTACCAACAGGGTTTCCTTATCGTGTGGGAAACCCTTGGTGTGTAAAAGCGAATGGGGAGGGGGGAGAGAGAGATAATGGGTATCTCCTTTTTGTTTTCTGTTTTTTTTTTCTATTTTGTTATCGGTTTGTCATTGTTTTTTTATTTTGTTTTTTTTTTTTTGTTTTGTTTTCTTTCTTTTTTTCTTTCTCTCACACTCTCTCTCTCATTCTCCTTTCCTCCCTTCTTCCCTTCTCTCTCTTCCCCTTTCTCTTTTCTTTTTCTTCTCTCTCTCTCTCCTTCTCCTCTCTCCTCTCTCTCCTCCTCCTCCTCCTTCTCTTCCTCTCTCCCTTCTCCTCTCTTCCCTCCTCTCTCTCCTCCCTCCCTCCTTCCCTTTCCCTCCCTCCCTTCCCTCCTTCCCTCCTTCCCTCCTTCCCTCCCTCCAATATATCCATTTAATATATACCCCTTTTACATCCCTACAAACTAAACGATTCTCGCCAGCAACCAGAATCACAAAGAGAAACGCAATGTAATGCAATGGACCGAATTAGCCACGATGGTCGCCACGCCCAAGGCCACAATGCACTGAAGACGGCCAATGAATCAATGGACCGAATTAGCCACGATGGTGCCACGCCCAAGGCCACAATGCACTGAAGACGGCCAATGTAATCCAATGGACGAATTAGCCGATGGCTGCCACGCCAAGGCCACAATGCACTGAAGACGGCCAATGAATGCAATGGACCGAATTAGCCACGATGGCTGCCACGCCCAAGGCCACAATGCACTGAAGACGGCCAATGTAATGCAATGGACCGAATTAGCCACGATAGTTGCCACGCCAAGGCCACAATGCACTGAAGACGGCCAATGTAATGCAATGGACCGAATTAGCCACGATGGTCGCCACGCCCAAGGCCACAATGCACTGAAGACGGCCAATGTAATCCAATGGACCGAATTAGCCACGATGGTCGCCGCGCCCAAGGCCACAATGCACTGAAGACGGCGAGCAGCGTGCAACAGTTCTCACGAGGCAGCTTCCAACTACAGATCAATTCCCACGAATATTCTGAAAGGGTTTTCTGTTTTTTTATTGCTCGACTATCGACCGTGGCGGTATATGGCCGTGTTGACCCGGCCCGCCAAGATCGTGAGGTCAATGGATTTTTTTTTATTTCAATTTCGAAAAGGTCATGTGAAGTTGTGTGTCTCCCTTGCGGAAAAAAAATGATGGATTTAGATAGCGTCGATTTTTTTCATTTTCTTTCATACGGAAATAATTTATTGGATTTATTCTGTTCTTAGTGAATTGATGGCGTTAGGATTTATTGTGAGGTTGGTGGTGCAAAGTGGGACATTTTTCTCGATGTAGTAAGGTTAATCTTAGTGGTGTTGACCCTAAGAATGGACAACACCACCTCCTCCCTTCTCGTTGAAAGGGTCAAGGTGTGTAATTTTTGTACGGCAGGTCACGTGCTATCGGTTGTTACTGGTGGGCCGGCAATGATAGTTATGCAATAAATGTAAAACGAAGTTGTGATGATGGTATAATTGCACCAGATGGTAGTTATAATGGTATAATTGCACCAGATCGTCATAATGATGGTATAATTGCACCAGATCGTAATAATGATGGTATAATTGCACCAGATGGTCATGATAATGGTACAATTGCACCAGATAGTAATTATAATGGTATAATTGCACCAGATCGTCATTGCAGATCGTCATAATGATGGTGCAGATGTGATGGTCATGCACCAGATAGTGATATAATGGTATAATTGCACCAGATCGTCATAATGATGGTATAACTGCATCAGATGGTCATGACAATGGTATAATTCCAGCTGTCCGTAGCCTGTGGGTTAAACTGGGCCGCCGAATACGAGAGAGAAAACCTACCTTTTCTACATGACATCAACACTTCCTCTACAACTTACAAGTATTATTAACTTTTATTAAGATTTTTGCTTCTAAATAGTAGCGTTTGATAAGCCGTAGCGAGTTTAAAGTAGTTCAAAATGGAAAATGTTGTTCAGAGATGCTTTTGAGCTGCGGTTTCCAAAATTTAGTAGTCACGTACTCCTTGTAAAGTATTAATAAATTCTTCTATTATTTCTTTAAGTGTTTTAGAAAGTAT